ATACAGTTCAGATAATATCAAAGCGGTAAAAGACAACATTTAGCACGTTATGCAAAAACATGTAATAAAGATCAGATAATAAAGCCAAATATAACAATTATTCTAAGCTCGAATTCTTGAACCCTGAACCAGTGGTTCTGGGACAAATCCCCAGCGGAGTCGCCAGAGCTGTCACACCTCCTTTTTGCGCGCCCGCCCCGAAGAGTAAATGCGCGAGAGAGTTTTTCCAATTTAAGTGACAATATTTGAAATGGGATTATTTATTCAATTCAGAGTTTGGGAAAGGTTTGGTTTTTGGTGTCCCAAGTCACGGTTTATCTTGAATCCCAAATCGAGGAAATTTTCGACTTTTCCAAATGAAGTCTGCGAACCAGAAATTCTAAGTAAGGAATTCTGTTGACCCGAGGGAAGGTGTTAGGCACCCTCGAATCCCGTGGTTCTAGCACGGTCGCTTAAATTGTTATAATGGCTAAATATCTGATTTAAATACATGTTATGACTTACGTGCTTTTATTAAGTTTAAACCGCTTTTATTATTATCATTTATTTTTATAGAATTGCAACGTCGTGAAAATGCATCTCGAACCACGTCACAATTAATGCACCCGTGGTTGTCGACACATTTTGACTCCGTTGAGATTTGGATTTCGGTCACATCAATGTGCACCCGATTTTAAGAATGTAATTTAATTAAATCGTGCCTAAAGAGTCTAACACGTTATTGTCTTTGGAAAAGGCGGGGAAATTCACTAGACAGCCCATCCCAAATTCTAAATCTTTGTTATGATTAACTATTGAGGGCCCCGCAATTTGCACTTTATTCGGCGAGGCTCATCTCGTTATTTTGGAAGGGATGTCCGAAAGCGACTACATTTCTATTATGTTCGTTTCTAAAAAATGAAAGAAAAAAAATGTGCGCTGATTAAATGGCATGCTTAGCTAATACTGACTTCTTATTAATTATCTGATTACAAGGTGAAGAACGCTATATCTCATGGAGCATACTTTTAATTTGATAAAAGGAAATACATACGAGATTGATGAAATGCTACGCTTACTCCGAACACTCCTCAAGCTGAATCTAAATTAAACTTATTTAAACAGGATTAGTAGGATTCCTTATTAAAGGATATTACCTATGGTATTCAAAATTCATCTTAAACATGCCTAACGAAATTGCAACTCTAGAGTATAAAAAACTGTATTGTATTTTTGGCGAGATTAAGGGGAACCGTCCGCCCTATATATTCACAACATGCTGAAAAACGAGTTTGAATTAACAATCATACTAATGGTTGCATATTCCATGAATTATGGTTACATCCTATATACCTTTAAACGAATCGCATATTTAGATCGACATAAGCTTCAACCAAATACAAACTTACTAATGTACTTCCCTATTGACCTACAAATTAAAATTTATACAACTTAATAACAAAAGGCTGTAAGTAAAGCAAACAGATGATTATAACTTCTCCAGATCTTTCAATTCATGCTTTTCATTGTTTACAATCAGCTGCACCAATATGAGACTCGAAATGTGTACCTGGAATGCTGAAAATGCAAAGGAGAAGAGGAGGAAGATAGGAAAATCAACAGTAGTAGAAACAGAATAGCAGCAGCAAGAACAAAACAGCAAGCAGCAAACAAAAGCAACACAGCAGAACAAGCTTGAGTGCAAGAATGCGACTATAACCGATAGGAAAAGGTAGCCGAATGACAGCAGCACACAATGGAGTAGAATCAGAACTCCAGGCAGACCAAAACCAGTAATAAACCAATGAAAACACTCAACCAATAAACTCAATTGGAACTTCAAAGAATCAGAATTGATTGAAAAGGGCGAAAACAAATGAAGCCCAAACAACAGTAGGAAGAAACAGTTTCTGATTTTTCTGTGTGTTTTTCTCTCTTGTGTATGTGTCTGTATATGTGCTCCCCCAAAAATCAGTCTCCCCTAATGGAAGTTCTTCTCCCTTTTATATACTAACATCATCTATTCACAGCCTGTTAAAACACATCAGAACCCCCTATCTTTCTTGCTGTTTTTCCACTCAAAATTTTAAAATATGAAACCCCTCCCATGAGATTCCTGATAGCCCTTTTAATTAGCTTATTAAACTAAAAGCAGACATGGGCAGCAAGAATATAATCTGACAGCATATGGTGTCAAACTATTTTAATCTTAACAAGGGCCTTTATGCACATGTTGTGCACAAGTGCTCATGCCACCAATTCAGACTGCAGTTACAGACCAATTCCTTAAGTTTCTGATTCAAATCAACAACTNCAGGATTTTTCAACTGATGGGGAAATGGTGTCGTTTCAAATGCCCGGGTTTGGGTTGGTTTGGGGGTTGAACAGGTCGGGTTTGTTCGTGGGTATGGGGGATGCGATCTTGACCGTTGATCATTCTGATATCAACGGCCCAGATCAGACCAGATCAAAACGGTGTCGTTTGGAAGCTCTTGAAGTAAGCTGGTCTGGACTGGGGCAAGCACAGATCAGACCAGATCAGACCTGTTTTGTTTTAACTTGGACTAGCCTGGTCCGAAAATCCTTCTCCTTTTCTTTTTTTTTCTTTAATTTCTTAAATTAATTTGTCAAATAATACTATATAAAACATTGAACAACAATTATCACACAATTAACATTTAATTATACTAAACACTTAATGACAAAATACAATGAAAGATGCACACATTTTATTTTTCTTTTAATAAACGGATTACGGTTCGCACGACATATATATATTTTTTTATTTTTTGTTTGAATAAAATAACCACGGGCAAGATCACAAATAACTAGCAAAAAATGCCACGTAAAAATCCAGAAAATGTACAGCAAGACCAATTGTTATTATTTTGTTTCTTGTGAAGTGATTGTCGCGTAAAACAAAAATCACGTGCTCACAATGAGTAGTGAGAGGAGGAGCATGAACAGAAACTCCAGGTATAGGAGAGGGAGGTGAAGATGTTGGTGATGAAGCAAGTACAATAGGTGGAGAAGTAGGTGGAGAAGAAGTGGATAGTGGTGAAAAGGCAGGAACATCAGAATTAGAAACAGAGGGAGGAAAGAGATGAGAGGAATTGGGAGAAGGATAAGGGAAGATATGCTCATGAAATAAAACATCACTGGAATGAAAAATGCTGAAATTACCTAAGTTCAGAAGTTTATAACCTTTTTTACCAACACTATGGCCAAGAAATACTGAAGGAATTGACATAGACTTAAATTTGTCCCTATATGGATTTGGCACAACAACAAAACATAATCACCCAAAAGTTTTTGGAAGAGCAATAGGAGGAACATCAATATGTAAGAGGGTAAATGGAGATTTATTATTGAAAAGAGGGTAGGGGAATCTATTAATTAGGTAAGTGGCTATGAGGACACACTCACCCCAATATTTGATATGGAGTTTAGATTGGAAAAGAAGGCCCCATGCAGTTTCAAGTTAGTGCTTGTGCTTCCTTTCCACAACACTATTCCGTTGAGGTGTATGTGGGCAGGAAGTCTGATGCAAAATGTCATGGGCAAAAAAAGGATAAAGCTGTTGAGCTAGAACCTAACTTAAATGCATTATCAGACCTCACCACCTGAACATGGGATTGAAATTGCGTTTTCACCATGAAAATGAATGATTTGAGAAGAGTAAAAGCACTACCCTTACTGGATAACAGATATGTACATGTGGCCCCGGAAAAATCATCAATAATAAAAAAATACTTAAAATCATTATATGTTTGAGTGTGATATGGACCCCAAAGATCCACATGTATTAATTGAAATGGGGAGGTATAATAAATATTACATTCAGGGAAAGGAAATCTTTGCTGCCTTGCCATAGGACATAAAGGACGCAAAAATGTTTGTTTATATGGTAATTTGTAAGATAAGAAAGGAATACATTTCATCTTAGTAAATGGTAGATGACCCAGTCTCAAATGCCAAGAATGACCAAAAGATAACCTAGAAAGTGAATTATTAATAGGAAAAAACAACATCATGCATATAAGCAGAAGAATTAGAATCAGAAAAAGAAATACTACTTTTATTCATATCATGCAAAGTGTTGGCAGTGATGGTATTTACAAATGAGGAATGAAAAGCCCAATCACAAGAAAGAACAGGTGAAACAAGATTGATGTGATGACCTTTAGGTCATCACTTATTTTAGAAATAAATTCTACATTCTGAGGCCTTAAAAACCTCTTTCAACATCACATCGATTTGTGTGCGCAGTCTGGGCGCGTAGCCGGATAGGCATTATGTGAAAATTTGTGAAAAATAATGAATTTTGACTTTAAAATGGATTTAAGTTGACTTCGGTCAACAATTTGAGTAAACGGACCCGGACCCGTGATTTGACAGTCTCAAAGTCTCAAAGGGTCTGTAAGAAAATATGGGACTTGAGCATATGCCCGAAATCGAATTCTGAGGTCTCAAGCCCGAGAAATGAATTTTTGAAGAAAATTATTTTCTGGAATATTTATGAGTTTTTTAAAATGAAATGTGTTTTAAACTCGATGGTATCGGGCCTGTATTTTGGTTCCGGAGCACAGTACAGGTCTTATATGTGATTTAAGATAAGTCCGTGAAATTTGGTAAGAAACGGAAGTCTTTTGAGGTGATTCGAACCCGTAGTTGAGAAAATTCATACTTTGGAAGTTTTGAAATTTTTCTTAGATTTCTATGCTAAATTCGTTGTTTAAGAGATTATTTTGGCGATTTAAATGCACGGATAAGTTCATATGATATTTTTGAGTTAGTATGCATGTTTGGTTTGCAGCCCCGAGGGCTCGGGTGAGTTTCGGATAGGTCTCGAAAAGTATTAAACTTGGAAAAAGTTGCAGGTTTTTGCTGTCTCAGTGCACAGAGGTTTTGTTCTTCGCGTTCGCATGGTCCCACTCGCGAACGCGTAAGGCAATTTCCTCAAGTGCCAGTTTGTTCTTCGTGAACGCGTCCAGACACTTGCGAACGTGTAGGCTAATGGCCTGGGGGGAGGTGGTTCACATTTTGTTCTACGTGAACGCAGCCACTAGCCCGCGAATGTGAAGGCTTGAGTAGTCAAAGCTCCGCGAACGCGAGCTTGTGATCGCTAATGCGATGGTTAATTGGTTTGACCCATCGCGAACGCGATGAAGGTCTGTCTAGTGATTTTAAAACAGAAGCCAAATGGGATTTCACCAAAATTTCATAACTTCTTCCAATCTTCAAATTGAGCGATTTTTGAAAGGGAACTTCACCACAAATTCATAGGTATGTAATCTTAGACTCATTTTCTTCAATTTCCATTAACACCCATTAGATTTCTAGGCCTAAATCATGTTCTTAAGGGTAGAAAATTAGGGATTTGGGTAAAGTTAGGGTTTTTGCATAATTGAGATTTAGACCTCGTTTTGGGGTCGGATTTTGGAACTAATTACATATTCGGGCTCGTGGGTGAATGGGTGATCGGGTTTTGGTCCGAACCTCGTGTTTTGACCAAATGGGCCCGGGGTCGATTTTTGACTTTTTGGGAAAAATGATAGAAAACTTATAATTGAGCATTGAGTATGAATTCTTTAACATTTATTGATGTGGTTAAATCAATTTGGACTATATATGAGTTGTTTGGAGGCGAATTCTAAAGGAAAAGCGGTGTTTGAGGCTTGAGTTGGACGTGGAAGTTCGAGGTAAGTGTTTGTCTAACCTTAGCTTGAGGGATTAGGAGTTGTGTCTTATTTGTTACATGTTACTTCTTAAGCACGACGTATAGGCATGGTGACGAGTATCTATATGTTGGTGTCAAGCATGACCGTGGGTCTTAAACTGAAATTGTTGTGTTCTTAATGAATACTACAAATGCCTAAGTTGTTGTTTCTCTGTATTGAGCAAAGATGATTATTCTCGTGGAAATTACTTATGATTGAGTATTGGTGCTAGCTGAGGTAGTTAGATGTTGGAACAAGTTTGGTTATAGCTAATTTCCCTTGCGGTGACGTATTTATTTATACTATCGATTCCCTTATCGGGATAATGTTGTTTCTTTATTGATCCCTTGCCGAGACTCTCGTTCTGATTGGTGTTGAATTGTATATGTGCATCGGGTTGCGCGGCAACAATATTATATTTAGATCGGGTTGCACGCCGCAACAATATTATATTTGGATCGGGTTGCACACCGCAATAATATTGTATTTGGATCAGGTTGCACGCCGCAACAATATTATATTTAGATCGGGTTGCACGCCGCAACAATATTATATTTGGATCGGGTTGCACACCGCAATAATATTGTATTTGGATCAGGTTGCACGCCGCAACAATATAATGTTTGGATCGGGTTGCATGCCGCAATAATAATATAATTGGACCAGGTTGCATGCCGCAACAGTGATAAATGATAGGGTTCGGGTTGCACGCCGCAACAGTGTTATTATGTTTGGATCGGGTTGCATGTTGCAACAGTGTTATTATGTTTGGATCGGGTTGCGCGCCGCAACAATAAATAATACAGAGTGTTTATAGATTGATTATGAGTTCCTTATTGTTTTGCTGCAAATTCTAAATTGTCCTTATGCCTTTCTCTTAAATTACTACTGGTAATGATGTTCCCCCGCAGCATGTTCCCCCTCCCATCTTTACTTGTTTATTTCTGTTTTATTTTTCTGTTGTATATTATATAACTGCACAGGTTTATTTGGTCGTCTGGTCCTAACCTCGTCACTACTTCGCCGGGGTTAGGCTAGGCACTTACCAGAACATGAGATCGGTTGTGCTGATACTACACTCTGCACGATGTGTAGATCTCGGAGCGGCAGCTTTTGGACCGTAGCATTTGGGTGGCTGCCTTCAGTCCAGTTAGAGATCCCGAGGTAGTCCTGCAGGCGTCCGCAGGCCCGACGTTCTCTTCTATTTTTATATGTATTATGTTTTCATTATTTTCGGGACAGACTGTACTTTTCCTTTCAGACATTTGTATGTAGTATTCATAGATAGTTCGTGATATTGTGACATTGAATTCCGGGTAGAGATGTATGTTGGCATTATCAAATAGGTTTTGGCTAAGTTATCAGATTAAGTCTTCCGCTTGTACTACTTATCATTAATATTTCATTGTTGATCGCATGTTAATTTAAACTGTTAAAAAGGCTAAATAAAAGAGTTAGTGATTCTACATTACGTGGCTTGCCTAGCTTTCTTGAGTAGGCGACATCACGACTCCCGAGGGTGGAAAATCCGGGTCGTGACAAGTTGGTATTAGAGCTCTAGGTTACATAGGTCTCACAATTCACGGACAAGCTTAGTAAAGTCTGAGAGATCAGTTCAGAGACGCCTGTATTTATCCCCCAGAGGCTACAGAGTTAGGAAAAACATCACATTTATTCTTTCCTGTCGTGCGGTTTGGTTTCTCAATGCTAATTGAATTTTACTCTGTTCTTTCAAAGATGGCAAGAACACGTGCTTCCTTATCCACCGATCAGCAACCTGAGCCTCCAGCAACAGCTCCCACGAGGGGCAGAGGGCGAGGCCAAGGCCGTGCTAGAGGACGAGGTAGGGGCAAAGCTCAGTCCAGAGTAGTAGCACCAGCGGGGGAGCCTCAGGTTGACTTTGATGATGAGATTCTGGCCTAGACAGTTCTGGTGGGCCCAGCTCAGGTCCCAGAGGTGTTTATTGCTACCCCCATACTCCAAGATGCTCGGGTCCGTTTAGTGGGCCTTATAGAGAGTGTCACTCGGGCAGGCTTGCTTCCTGTAGTACTAGTCGTCTCTCAGGCTGGAGGAGGAGCCCAAACTCCTGCTACTTGCACTCCAGAGTAGATGGCTCCCTAGTTTCAGACTCCAGCAGCTCAGCCAGTTAGAGCAGTTCAGCCGGGTGTGGTAGCTCAGACCGGCGATGGAGCAGCTATGTCTGGTGATGCTTTATGGAGATTGGACAGGTTCACCAAACTCTTCCCTACTACTTTTAGCGGTGCATCTTCTGAGGATTTTCTAGATAGCTGTCATGTGGTTCTCAGAAACATGGGGATAGTTGAGACTAATAGGGTCGATTTTTCTACTTTTCGCTTATCTGGATCCGCCAAGACTTGGTGGAGAGATTATTGTTTGGATAGACCAGTCGGATCGCCAGCTTTCACTTGAGAGCAGTTTACTCAACTATTTCTGGAGAAGTTTCTCCCTATTACTCAGAGAGAGATCTATCGAAGGCAGTTTGAGCGTCTCCAGCAGGTTTCTATGACTGTTACTCAGTATGAGACCATATTCATCGACTTGGCCCGTCATGCTCTTATCATACTTCCCACCGAGAGAGAGGGTAATGAGGTTTATTGAGGGACATATCCAGCCTATTCGACTTCAGATGTCCAAGGAGACTAGGAGTGAGATTTCTTTCTAGGAGGCAGCCAATGTGGCCAGGAGAGTTGAGATGGTTCTATCGCAGGGAGGTGGTCGGGGGTCTGACAAGAGGCCTCGTCATTTAGGCTGATTCAGTGGTACCTCATCTGGAGGCAGAGATTCGTATGGTAGAGGCCATCCTCCTAGGCCTTTTCAGTCAGCCCTTTAGGTTTCTCATGGTGCTTCAGGTGGCCATGGTTCTCATATGCAGTATTATAATCAACAGCCCTATTGTGCACCACCAGCTCCTATCAGTTCACCGCCGCTCTAGAGTTTTTGGGGTGGTCATTCAGGTCATCGGGGTCAGTCTCAGTTTCCTCAGCCGCAACATTCTGGTGGATGCTATAAGTGCGGTGAGTATGGTTATATCCGGAGGGCTTGTCCAAGATTGGTGGGTACTTAGTCGCAGCAGCAGGGTTCCCGTGCTATGGTTCAGGCACCAGGTATTCCACAACCAGCTAGAGGTGGGGGTAGAGGTGCAAGAGGTGGAGGTAGAGGTGTTAGTGGTGGAGCTCAGACCGCTAGAGGTGGAGGCCAGCCAGCTGCAGGCCGTCCCAAAGATGTAGTCCAGGGTGGTGGGGCCTAACCTCGTCACTACTTCGCTGGGGTGAGGCCAGGCACTTACCAGCACATGGGTCGGTTGTGCTGATACAACACTCTACACTATGTGCAGATCCCGTAGCGGCAGCTTTTGGACTGTAGCATTTGGGTGGCTGCCTTCAGTCCAGTTAGAGATCCCGAGGTAGTCCTGCAGGCGTCCACAGGCCCGGCATTCTCTTCTATCTTTATATGTATCTATTTTCATTATTTCCGGGGATAGACTATACTTTTCCTTTCAGACATTTGTATGTAGTATTCGTAGACAGTCCATGATATTGTGACACCGGATTTCGTGTAGAGATGTATGTTGGCATTGTTGAACGGGTTTTGGCTAAGTTATCAGATTAAGTCTTCCGCTTGTATCTACTTATCATTAATATTTCATTGTTTATCGTATATTAATTTAAACTGTTAAAAAGGGTTAACTAAAAGAGTTAGTGATTCTACATAATGCGGCTTGCCTACCTTTCACAGGTAGGCGCCATCAAGACTCCCGAGGGTGGGAAATCCGGATCATGACAATTGAAGATGTAGAGCCTAGCCTGAAGACTACCAAGAACCAGTGGCTTCTTTAGAGAAGGGCCCTGCAAAACACATAGAATGGATGAGAAATAAGTAATACAATTCGCTTCAAGGATTAATTGAGTAAGAGAAATGAGATTGTAATGGAAGGAAGGAACCAATTGTACATGGGAAATGGAAATTTCGGGAGGCAGATTAAGGATACCATTACATGTGACTTTTACCTTATAACAATTAGGCAAAGTTACAAGATAATGTAAGGAAAGAGGTTTAATGTTCGATAAAACAGAAGAGTGTGGAGTCATGTGATTAGTCACACCCGAATCTATAATCCAAGGGTTGTTCCTATCTTAGAAAAATTGAAAGCAAAATTTTTAAAATCAGGGTTACCTATCAGACCTGCAAAATTTGCAAAACCAGTAGAGATCTCCTGAGAAGGTGGTGACACTTTGGATTGCTGAAGAAGACTTAGAAGTTGATCGAATTGTTCTACGGTAACGGCAGCACCCCTATATTAAGAATGAACAAGTCTATTAGCATTGCTAGTAGCATCATGCTCCCCCATGGATTGAGAATTTGAAACTTATGCAAAAGCAGCAGCCTTTTTGAATTTTGACTGCAAACCAAGAGGAAAACCATGTACATTGATGCACTTGTCAATCAGATGGCCAGTCTTCTTGCAGTATTTGCACACCAGAGGACTCCTTTTTGTTTTGTTCAAAGTTAACTTCTGACTATGTGGTTTCTGAACCCTAGTAGAGAAAGTAGCAGAATCAGAATTGAAAGAAGATGTGGGATTATGAATCTCATCCTGACTTTCATCATTAATGAGCTTGTCATAAACAATATCCACATCAGAAAGTGGCTTCATCATAAAAACTTTACTTCTAATAGTAGAGTAGGAGTCGTTGAGTCCCATCAAAAATTAATGAACTTTCTGCTCTTCATCCAATCTTTGGAAAGACTCATTGCAACCACAAGTGCAATTAGGATATGAAATAGAGAAGGAGAGTTCATCCCACAACTTCTTAATCCTGTTGAAATATTAAGCAATATTGGAAGTACCCTGAGAAATTGAAGAAATCTCTTTGCGAATTTGGAAAATTTTGATTCCACTAGCTTGACCAAACCTACGTTCAATCTCTCTCCAAAGTTTCTCAGCAAATTTGGTGTAAATAACAGTCTACCTAATCTTAGTGGCTAAGCTGTTGAGAATCCAAGCAACTAGCATATCATTACATCGGATCCATGGCTCGAGAAGAGAGGAAGTAGATCTAGGTTTCAGAATTGATCCATTAATCATTTCTAGTTTATTCTTATAAGACAACCCTAAGAGCATCCCTCTTCTCCAGCTCCCATAACCAGAACCATTGAAAGCTTTAGTAACCACAATTGTTCCCGAAAAATCAGAAGGAAGAAGGTACAATAGTGAGGCAGGGGGAACACCGGAACTATTGCTAGCACTAAGCCAGTCATCAGACGTCGAACCCATACCAATAACAAAAAAAACAAAAAAAAAAAAAAGCTTAAAGCTACAAATTGAGTAATTTTTTTTGTTGTGAAATTAGGGTTTCAGCAAAGTAGAATAACAGTTGGCTTCTTCAAAGAATAGTCTGAAAGAGCCAAACTTTGAGAGAGGAACGTTAACCAAACCAGAAAAAAATAGCTCCGAGAAGAGAAACAAATGCTTGCCGGAAAAGAGAAACGCCAACAAGGAAAAACACAAAATTCACAATTCGTACCTCAAATTACATACATTACCACTAAAATAGAGAGAATCGATCTAGATCTAGCATAATCCAAGCTCTGATCCATATTAATAACCAGATTCATGAACAAAATCGCTCGATTAAAATGAGCAGATCCCTAATTTTGGTATCTGCATACTGAAATGAAACGTAGAGAGAGAGAAAATGTGAAAGTGGAATTTTATTAAAATAAAAAAACTGATCTAATACACTGTACATCTATATATATATATATATATAAGTGGGTTGGCTCACATATATAAAATTAAATATACAGCTGGCCCAAGCTTTACTACTCTATTACACTACTATACTTCAAGGAGGTTTGGGCTCATGTCTTGTGCAAGTAGGCTCAGCCCAGCAGAAATTAAGTGCAGCTCTATCATATTCTTCTCACGGACTTTTCCTAATCCTTATATCCTTGCGATCAATTCAAGAAATAAAGGTTGCTACTGGAAACCGTGATTACTTTGAAGTTTTCATGCTTCCTCCCAAAGAAGGCTCGGGATTCAACTGTAAACTTGTTCATCTCCGGGAGATTTTGCAGGTGCCCAAACTTGTGATTGGTCAGCCAAAAACTAGTGAAAGACCTGAGATGAAGATATGAATAAAAGGGGGTCAAACTTTAGAGTGTATATATATGGACTCAAAAAAATAACTAACAAATATTTCATTATTGCTTAATTACCTGTTGATGAACCTCCTGGACAATTCTGATCGTACAAAGGATAAATACGACCGGCATGCAATGGGTTGATCTTGCAACAAGAGACGAGATAGCTCAAGGCTACCATCGGAGAAAAGGAAGACAAAGGAGTTAGTGTTTTATTTCCATGTGAATCAGACCTTCCGTCTTTTCTTGTTGCAGTAAAACCACAAAACGTGCACTCTGCAAAAATAACAAGTCATTAGATATAATTTATTATATTGCACGTCTTTTATTTTTTACGTGAATTTTATAAAGAAAAAAGGCAGATCGACACATCAAAGATTTGAATGAAAGCATAGACGAAGAGAGGAATTAGTTACAGACATGGTGACTCATTGATTCAATGTCGAAGAATTCATGAAGAGGATTCATGCTAGAAAATGATTCCATCATCGTCATCGTCGTCTTCTTCAGTGTTGGTAGCCCTCATCATCTCTGCAGATAGGCTGAGTTGTACTGAAAGTGATGGTGATTGATAAAGCATATCACTATATATAGGAGGGACATGGGGCTCTAGGGTAAAAAGTTGTTACGAACTTTACTAGAATAAATGAGTTCCAAAAGGATACGTCCAATGGTAGAACCATCAGAAAATATGATATTTTGTGTAATTAATACCACGGTCAGCCAAAATTATGGTTTTCTGATATTACTAGTCCCTTTTTCTATGGCTTTTTCATTGAAAATAATGCCATGGCCTTTCAAAAAAATTGTGAAACATACCACCTTAATGAACAATTTTTAAAAACTATCGGATATGTGCAGTTTCAATGTCTCTTTTAAACATTAATCAAAGACTACTAGAAATTTTGTCAAAATCGACCGCGGTCAACCGACCAACTTCGATCAGTCAAAAACTGACCGAAATCGTTCGGTTTTTTAAAATTTTTTATTTTTTAATTTTCTTTTACGAAATCGACAGACTTCGGTCAGTTTTTCATTGCGCAAAAATGCGGGAAATTTTTTTAGCATCTGAAATCGGTCGATTTTTCATATAAAATAAATTAAAATTAATATTAAAAAAACCTACCGAAATTTGTCCTTTATTTCAGGAAGTCATTTTAAAAAATCGACCGACTTTGGCCGGTAATTTTTATTTTTAATAAAACTAACCGAAATCGGTTGGTTATTTACTTGCACAAATACAATTAAAGAGTACCAATTAATTAAAAAAAAATCTTAAGACAAAATGTACCAATGGTTTAGTGGTAGAATAGTATCTTGCCACAATACATACCTTCGTTCGATTGACCAACCGAAATCAGTCGTTATTTCCGACCGACTTCGGTTGGAATTTATTACAGACCAACCTAATTTCGACGGTTTAAAGTCGGTCAGAAAATGGTCAGTTTTTCAAAATTTTCGACCGATTTCGGTCGGTATTTCTGAATTGTTTTAGGCAGTTTTCTAGCAGTTAAATATAGGAAAGTTGCAATTAAGAAATTTTAAAATAGCAGATATAACATCAGATACATGTGTGTGTGTGTGTCTATATATATGTGTGTGTGTGTGTGTGTGTGTGTGTGTATGGGTAATATCGGGCGTAATGTCTACCCCGATTCCCCGGTAAGAAAACAGAAGAATGGCGCAAATGCACAAGATTGAAATCGAGGTTAGAGACCCCTCAAATCAAGATCGAGGAAGGGTGAACGATGTGCTCGCCATCGTTTGGGATAAAACGACACGCCCCAGGCCAAGAATGAGTTCTAAGACCTTAGAAAATATAGTAAACGGTTACACACGACAGAAAGAGGGCCGTAATATTCATACCCAACCAGATATCACGGCGCAGATCTCACTCGATGTCGGTTATGAATCAGTAATTAATGGGAAATAAAGGTTTTTACCCTTTTTAGACTCGTACTAGGGATGACACTCTCCTACTATATAATGGGAAAGTTTTTCTTATGTAACACGCACTGTAACAAGCAAATCAAATCAATACAAGCTTATTTTCAATCTTTTTAGCTACTTTAAAGTTCTTGTTCACTTAACATGTTCTTCATTCATGACTAGGCACGAATTGAGGGTCCAATTGAGGACTAGGTCGTTGTTCAATCTAAATTCCGGATTGATCATAGTATTGCAATAGGTTTGAACGTCTATTTCATTCCTAACTCATTTATTTGATATTCTTAATTGTTTGTATTAGATTAAACCACATATCCTTAAAACTACATATAAATTTAATTATCACCCAATTTTGGGGTAAATAGTTTTGTGGCCATCGTGGGGCTAAGGATAACAATGGTGATTTAATACGAATCCCCATAACACACCCTATTTTATGATTGTTCATTGAAGTCTTAATTTCAGTTCAGCCTAAGAACGTCAAACTCTCAGTCTGCTCACTTGAACATTAACGCTGAGTCTGACCGTTATGGAGAAAATAATAATTTGGTGCCCAACAACGAGATGCCTCCTGCCGATCCTAAGGGTGTCCTAGTTGCTGATCCATTCAAATCTAACTCGTAGGTGGACATAAAAATCAACTTTCCAACTGATTCCGAAAATAGTGTTTACGGGGAACCCTGACCAACAGTTCAGGAAGCACTCGAAGGCAAGGGTGATGGGGTAAGCCTATGGCTAATCTTCGAAATGTTGTAGTCTCAACAGGAGGCAATAGCACAGCTACAAAATCAAAGCCACACCCCAACAGGGTCGAGCCCGAACGATCCTAGGAAAAATTCAAAAAGATGAGAAAATTATCGAGAGATCGGGTGAGGCCAAGCTTGGGGTAAATCCCGAGATAATGAAATGCTCGATGAGTTGACAAAACGGGTAGAGTCGAGTGAGAAGAAGATCAAGGCTAATGACAAAAAGATGGAGACATATAATTCCAGGGTCGATCAGATACCAGGAGTACCCCTGTGTCACGACCCAAACAGATGGGTCATGACGGGTGCCGAGTCCTACCTGTCGAACACCCTTAAGCATGTTGCTAAGATATAAACATGAATATTTTTTGCTAAATTACAAGAATAACATGCATGAGGAAGACCTGTCAAAAGGACATATATACATGTGCATGTGGAATACAGTGAGTGAGCCGACAAGGCTGCTATAGACAACTACCCAACTATACATGACTATCTACATACCTCTAATAGAAATACAACTATACAAAGACAGGACTGAGCAACGTCATACTCATATATACACACACACACACACACAAGCATATCGTACCAAAATCAAAAGCAGCTCCAGATCAAGTGGAGCACGCCAAATCTCGCTGACCAAGGATCTTAAGAAGGGGGATCGTCGGCTTGCCTACCTGCACCTGTGGGCATGAAACGCAAGCCCTGGGAATTAGGGCATCGGTACGAATAATGTACTGAGTATGTAAGGCTTGAAAATCAGTACATAAAAGACATAGATGAAACATGGAATAAAGAAATCCATCTGTAAGTTTGAATAACTTTGTAAATTATGAAACATTTATAATGTCAGGCACGTGCATATAAATATCGTGTCATGCATAGGTATAGGTGTACATAACATCATCAAGCTTCTGACGGCATCCCATCATATCGTCTCGGCCACTGTGGGCAGCATCATCAACATATACCAACTGATCAGGTGGTGGTGCGTCTATATAACGTCGTAACCTTTCCCAATATCCCAAATACTTATATTTACATATATACGCGTCTATAATGTCACCTGGTCATGGGTCAGTGTAAATGAATGTAATGTATGAAATGCATAAGAAATACGTTAATAAGATTTTCTCAGAATGCCATAAAAATCAATATACCTTTAGGATAAACTTTATCAAATACATATTTTTCTGTAACCCATGAACAGATAATAGAATAATATGACTTATGGGAGAATAAGAATACACACATCTCTAGCATTTCTATGAATAGAGTATTTTTGGTAGTTGTGCATTTGCTTGTATCGTTTGTGTCGTATAGATCATGCGAAAAAGAAAGAAGGGATATCCTTAACATACCTGGAATAGGGAACAATCCGTATGATGTTCTTGGAAAAGGTTGCACTGTACTACTTTAGAACATCAAAATTTTACGTTGCTAACAATTCTCGTTGAATTTCCTTTAGTTGCAAGAATCCACGTTTTTGTTGAAAACCTTAAGAATGCCTAATGTTCTGTAGTGCTCCATAACTTATCAATTTATAGCTAATGTTTCAAATTGTAATAATGGCAGATTGTAGGAATTTGTAAGCATTTATGTTGCTAAAGTAAAGAAAGAAGCTCACATCTGAAATGATTAGGATGTTGTTAAGGTAAACAAAGAAGCTCACATCTCAAATGAGAAAGCTAACGTTTAGGATCCTTTAGTGTAAGAAATGATTATAAAATGAAGTGTCTTGGTAATACACATTATTTTTGCCACCTAAGCTTATATGACTACTTAGTCATATGCATTAATAGTGGCTTATTGCCACGTTTTTTTGGGTTCTTTAGTCTTATCTGATAATTTAATCAATTAATTAGGTAATATCCCGCTATCCGATAATTAATCAATTACTCACATAATTAAGAATTATCTCAAATTATCTAGAATTCTACTTTTTTTTAATATACTTTATATATCATACTATCATGGTCATATAGTACCTTGTATGGTACTAGTCCATAAATATCGAGTATTATAGCTCTGACCGTATTTTATCCCAAATCCACAACCTTCAACGAAACTTATTTTCTTTGATTCGTTTACCCTTTATCCTTCACGACACTTACTTATCGCTTGTTATAAATAGCATAAATATGCTAACCTCAAGATAATCTCATCCCCGAGTCTATGTCAATTAACTGAAAACGAAATTTTAACGTACGAAAACGTGAGATGTAACATCCTTCCCCCCCTTAAAAACATTTGCCCTCAAATGTTTAACTCCCCGGGATCTATATACTTTTATAGAGTTGCCTTTGTAACAATACTACTACCAACTCTTCCTGTAGAAACTCAATGATTCAATGCCACATATGACCACAATCATCACTAACGACAATGGCCTCACACGACCAATGATAATAACTAACACAGGAATCCATACACGTACCATAAGGTTGTGATGTCCCAGTCAGACCTTTCTCTAGAGGATAAAATAAGTAGGGATATCTAGACTTCATGTCTTCCTCGGCCTCCCAAGTAATTTCATTCACATTATTGTTTCTCACTTGTACTTTCATCGAAGCTACATCTTTAGTTCTCAATCTCCGGACCTATCTGTCTAATATAGCAATGGGAGTTTCTTCATATGATAGCTGCTTTGTGACCTGAACGTCGTCAACTAACATGATTCTAGAAAGATCTCTGATACATTTACGGAGCATAGACACATGAAAGATTGGATGTACAGATTCCATGTTTGAAGGAAAGTCTAACTCATATGCTACATAGCCTACCTTGCGTGTGATCCTATATGGTCCAATGTACCGAGGTCTCGTTGTCGATTATCTGCATAAGACTTCTG